CACGTACATGTTGTCTTATTCTTGATTACTTCGCTTGTCTTGCATACACATAGCTTCAACACACAGTTAAGAAATGCACTTACCAACTGAGAAGAGTCAATTCTGCATATGAAATGGCTGAGGGACTAGTCATTTCCGAAGAACGTAGGACTTCGGGAAGGCATGTAAGCGTCCAGATACGATCAATGCAACGCTGTCTCTCCTGGGCTGCAAGAAGGGAGCTGGTCCATCCTAAAAATAGTGTGTTGGCCTTAGGAGGAAGGTATCGGAAGAAGGTAACCCAAGCTGGGAAACTCCACTCCACTGTAGGTTTCTTGCATCACCTTTGGAAAAACCCTTTATTTTTCTCTGCCTCAATTCCCCCACTGGTAAAATAGGGAAGATAACAGACCTTACCTACATCACTGGGATGACACAAGGACACTTACACTTAGGAAAGGACAGGAACATCCAGCCACGGAAACTCTGACAAGCGCAAGCACGCCGTGGGGCATTGCGATGTCATGTGCAGACGCTCAAGCCGCCTCCAACTGGTTTGATTAGGCTCAGCAAGCACTACACCACCTCAGCACAACACTCCGCACAGCTAATATTTGATAAACGGGGTATAAGGCTAGCAAAGCACCGAACTCGCGTGGCCAGGCTGCTGCCAGGACCTGAGCCAACTGCAGCAACGTTTTGTACACAGTATTCAAGGTACCAGACAGCATAGGAACTCATATAATGACAGAACAAGGTTCTCCTCTGTATCCCCTTCTTAACATCTACTGTTTAATTTTGCACTTCTGAGCAAACCAAGCCTTAGGCATGTTCAGATCTCCCTCAGGGCCACGTTCTTGCTTCTGATATTTAATTATATTAATATTTTGTAAACAGCGTAAAATAGACCCTCCAAGAATCTATCACCACCATCATATCATTTCAGGTTATTCTAGGAAATTCTTGCCTTGGTCCTAACGACCTCTCTCTTTTGTTATCTGATTAATCAGCCTGCACAATGAATATGTCTGCTTATTATACCAGGCAGCTCTGCTCTGCACGCTGCGCACGTGGCTGAAGGTGGGCAGAAAGCAGTAGCCTTCAAGACTGCTAAATAACATCAAGGGAGGAGAGGTTATTAACACCCAAATCCTCTAGAGGCGCACTCCACCTCTGCTAATAGCAGAGCCGTTAAATCCAACTAGCATGTCCTGATACAGTAAACATCTATGTGTTATTGCTGGCATGGTAACGTCACACTATACCATGACTGCACATTTGGCACAGCAACACTATACACAGCTGATGCAATGGAGTAATATAGTAAAACACAAAGAAAACAAAATGAATTTCAGAAACAAAAACAAAATTTCTACTATTTTTCCAAGTATTTTGAAAACGATAGCATTTTCCCCCAAGGGAAATATTTTTTACAACAACAGTATGCATTCGGCAAAAAAAATAGTGTTGCCAAACTCTGGCTACTCTGACTGTATTTCTAACTAACATCTCTTCATACTAATTACCCAACAAGATCCACTCAGAGATTTGCTGTCCTTCAACGTGAGGAAGGCTAAAAGCCATCGTTCACCCAACAACCTACCTGCTGTTTCTGTTAAGCAGGTCCAACCGGCAAACTACCTCTACTAAATGCTGGAAAGTTGAAGCTGTAACGTCATATACAAAATTTTAAAAATATATATTCCTGGAGCACCATTTGTGAGGTAACATAATTCAAACCTATCCAACTGGTTCCCTACAGTACTAAAGAAGGGCTAATACGCGTGAATAAAGCTGGTATTTTCAGTACAAAAGCGTCAGAACTGCCTGCTAGACACGTGTATACCAGTTACCTGCGTGTCCTACATCTCTAAGACAGCACGAGAAAAACAACGTGGGAACTGGGAAGAGGTAAGTCACTACTGGGATTTAACTGAGAGAGGCTTTATAACCAACTTTTCCTTATTTTTTTTTTTCCTTCCCTAAGCCATTTACCGCTGGGAGCAACGCCAGCAAGACGATCTCCGTTTCTTATGCTCTTCCCCTGCACGTCCACTGCTGGCGGCTGTCAGAGGCAGGACACCAGACGCCGCTTCTTCTTCTCACCTGAACATCTGTCCTTATCTTCTGGAGTAGTTAATCACCTTTCAGGACGACACGCAACCATCGCCCATCCCCGGGTGAGGGGGTCTCCAGCCCAGGCCCGCAGCCGGCCAGCCGCGCGCCCGCCTGCCCCCGCCTCCGCTCAGCGCCCCACGGCCCCCCGCAG